AAAAACTTCTTCACTGTGAGGGTGACAGAGCATTGGAACAGGTTGCCCGGAGAGGTAGTGGAGTCTCCTTCCCTGGAGATATTCAAAACCCGTCTGGATGTGATCCTGGGAAATATGCTCTAGGTGACCCTGCTTGAGCAGGAGGTTGGACTAGATGATCTCCAGAGGTCCCATCCAACCTAAATGATTCTGTGATTCTGTGATTCTGTGAATGCCTGCTATATGAGTTTGTCAGGCAGGAGCTGAAAATGGATGCTGGTGCAAAGCAGTTCTGAGACATGAGGAACTTTTCAGAGTGGGAGGGAAAGGAGCCATGTGTGTTTTCCCACCAGTCACCCCTGTCGTTGTGGGCAGGGCTTCACTTCTCCTACAGCTCCAACAACCTTCAAGTGGTCCAAGGATCCTGGTTTTAGTGCAGAGCTGTTCACAAAGGGTGTGTGGGTTCCTACTCGGAGTGAAGAGGTCCTGGGCCGAGTCAGGGCATGGGAACCAGGATGGGTTTAAATGCTATGTTAAGTGGTGCAGGATCTGCATGCCATGTCCACCAAACCCTTGGGGACACCTTGGACACCCCACATGGCCTGAGGAATCTCCATAGGGGCAGCCACATCCTACTCATGCTCTTAAGATGCCAAGGGTTCGTAGATGTGCCTGCCTGGATGCTTGAACTGGGCAGTTTGGGTATAGCCATTGGGGCAGGTTCAAGGCCCAAAGTCTCCTCTGCCAGGACATACTTGAGTTGAGTCCAGACTAGACTTTTCTGAAGAGCTAAACACCTGTCCCTCTGTGTCCCCCTCACCCAAGTGGTGCCCAGCCCCCAGCTGAAGCACATCCTGTTGCTGTGGCAGGTCTTGGTGGCTCGCAGATTTATCCTGTTGGTACAGATGAACCAGGTGAGGGAGACAAGGTTGGGGAGACATGATTTTTCCCCCAGGAGAAAGGAAACCTGTGTTGCCACAGGTAGGCTTTTTGACATCCCTATCCCATCCTTTCCCTGGGTAGAAACAATGGTAAAGATACTCCTCTGGCTGTAGTGTCAAGCCTGGATCTTGTCAGCAACTGTCTGGTGGCCCAGACATCAGACTCAGGGACACAAGGGTCATGGCTCTGGCTCCATCAGACATCACCTCCAGATGGCCTTGGCAGGGGGTTGCAGGACCTCCCTCTTGCTGATGCTAGTGGTCTTTGCAGGATCCCTTCTGTCTGGTACCCAAGCAGTATGAGGGGAAGCGGGATGCGGTGAAGGCAAAAGCCCTGTCTACCACGCTGTCCAACATCAACCTGGATCTCTTCCTCATTGAGCTCTACGAGATGATCATAGTGGCACTGGCCAGCTCTGAGCCACAGTGTGGGTAAGCGCAGATCTCTGCCAGCTCACCCTGGGGGTGGATCTCTTCTTCATGTCACCTTTTTAAAAGAAAGCCTGGCAGGGAACAGGTCTGAGCCTTCTTCAAGCAGTCACACTGACCACTGGGTCTTCATGAAGCTTGGAAAGAGTCAGGAAGAAGACATGGTGGGAACCTCCTCACCTTCAGTCCTGGGGCATCTGTTGGGGCAGCCAGAGAGTTGTCAGAAATCACAGCTTCCTGAGAGGATTTGGCTGGAGAGGTACCTCTGGAGGTCTCTGGTCCAAGCCCTGCTCCAGG